AAAAAAAAAAAAAAAACAAAAGTATCCATTATGAAATATGTAAGACACAGGGAACATGGAACACAGGAGCACCTGTGTATCAATAACCCAGCCTAAGAAACTAGACATGTCCACAGTTACAGCCACCACCAGCAGGCCCACCCCACTCTCCCAACAACAGCCCCTCTCCACCACGCTGGGACTATTAATCCCTTCCCATCACCTTCTCAACAGCCCAGCGTCCTTGCTTGAGCTGAGTCAGAAGACGCGCGCATCAGCATGTCTCAGTCGAGCCCCTGAGGGTCATGTCGCCCTGACCCCAGCCCTGCCCCATGGGATGCACAAGCTGGGACAGACAAAAGCAACTCTATGTAGCCACGAACAGCCCAGAGCTAGAACTCAGAAATATGGCTCCAATCTCACTGCAGGTATCGAGCAGGAAGAGGATCATCCAGGCATGGACAGATCCGAGGTGTCTGCACGGCTACCTCGGGAATCCTGCCCAGCCACAGGGAGGGTGGTGGTGATCCCAACACCTGGGCCCAGCCTTCCTATGCAAGGGACCCACTTAGGTCTCTCCTGGAAACGTGCAGAAGCTTTTGGGAAGGAGGCAAGGGAGACAGGAAGCAATTTCCCTACTCCACTGGAGGTAGCTGAGCCTTCCCTGGCAAAAGCGGATCAACAGTCTGTGTTTCTGCTGAGTGAACTTGACAAATGGGACTGAGAAGACACTGCATGACGGATCCAAACCCAACCTGAATCCAAACCTAATACACCACGCAGCACAGGAAACAGAAAAGCCAGGCACGGGATCAGAAATACTGTCGACAGTCTAAGGACTTGGGTAGGAATAACAGCCCCAAATCTTCCGTTTCCATTCTCAGAAGGAGCTGCCCTTCTTCTGGGGCCAGTCTGGGATAGATTCAGATGAGGGGAAGTTCTCTTAGAATTATCCTGCCAGGGCTGGGCGCGGTGGCTCACGCCTGTAATCCCAGCACTTTGGGAGGCCGAGGCGGGCGGATCACAAGGTCAGGAGATCAAGACCATCCTGCCTAACACGGTCTCTACAAAAAATGCAAAAGATTAGCTGGGCGTGGCAGCGGGCGCCTGCAGTCCCAGCTACTCGGGAGGCTGAGGCAGGAGAATAGCATGAACCCGGGAGGCGGAGCTTGCAGTGAGCCCAGATCGCGCCACTGCACTCCAGCCTGGGCGACTGAGTGAGACTCCGTCTCAGAAAAAAAAAAAAAAAAGAATTATCCTGCCAGTATTGGCTGGGCTCAGTGGCTCACGCCTATAATCCTAGCACTTTGGGAGGCTGAGGCGGGCAGATCGCTTGAGGCCAGAGGTTGAGACCAGCCTGGCCAACATGGCAAAACCCCATATCTACTAAAACTACAAAACAACAACAACAACAACAACAAAATTAGCCAGGCGTGGTAGTACATGTCTGTAGTCCTAGTTACTCAGGAGGGTGAAGCATGAGAAGAGTTTGAACGTGAGAGGCAGAGGTCACAGTGAGCTGAGATCATGCCACTGCACTCCAGCGTGGGCAATAATAAATAAATAAATAAATAAATATTTAGAATTATCCTGCAAGTATTTACATAATAGCTACAACATTCAGGCACTGAGCTGGTCTCAGTATACAAAAAGCACTGACAGTGCAGGGTTAGGAAGAGAGCTTAAATAGTTACAATAGAATTCTAAAAAAATTAGCCGGGCGTGGTGGCCTGCACCTGTAGTCCCAGCTACTCGGGAGACTGAGGCACGAGAATTGCTTGAACCTGGGAGGCAGAGGCTGCAGTGAGCCGAAATCGTGCCACTGTGCTCCAGCCTGGGTGACACAGCAAGACTGTCTCAAAAAAAAAAAAAAAAAAAAGAAAAGAAGAAAGGTCTAAAATCAATGACTTAAGGTCTACCTTAAGAAACTAGATTAAAAAGAGTAAAGGAAAAAGCAGTTTGATGCCCCTTGTTCTCACTAAGAAGGGGTGGTACATTACTGGGGTCAGTCTGGAATGGGACATATTAATAGATGGACCACGTCCCATGACTCCTCAAATTGTACCTGGGGTTAATTCCTTCCAAGCTAACTTGATTTTTTTATTTCCCTATATCTTTATCATGGGAGCCATTGGCAAACTATGGACCTAGGACACAGGAGAATTTTCTACTGTCACCTCTTCTCCCAGGCCCACATCCTATCCGTAAGGCTCAAGAAGGCCCACTCTGGAAGTTCCACCTCTCCCAGCCCGGTTCAACCAGAAGACTTCCAATCCAAGTCCTCCCTCTGGTTAGGGAGCACTGTTCATATTTACCTATTTATGTAGATATTTACAGAATATATACCATTAAGGAGAGAATATTGGTTAATAAAGTATAGGAATTTTACGATATATCTCTAGCTGAGATCCAGTTCTGTAACTTACAGACAACCTAGGCCAAGTTTCTCTTTGAACCTCATTTTTACCAAAGAAAGGATAACACAACTGTTCACTTCATAGGATTGTTGAAAGGGTTGAATTAAATAATGTGTGCCAAGTGTGACCCACGGCAGGGGCTCAGTCACCGGGAGCCATTGCTTCTACCAGGCTTTGGGCAAAGTGCTGAGGAGATGGACACTGACCAAGACCTACCCTCCAGGAGCCCATAGAATGTTCCTCACGCCCACCCTCAGGATGCACACTGTGCCTCCACCGCGCCTCACCTTGGATCCTCAGGCTCTCCTGGTACTGGATGATGAAGTACTCCTGAGTCTGCTGCAGCTTCTTCAGCTCATTCTCTGTGTCCTGCGTGACCAGTCGCAGCTCCTCAAATGTCTGGTTGATCTGAAGGTGTTTCTGGGACATGGCGTCAACCAGGATCCCAGCCGGAGAACTGCACTGGAGACAGACGGAGTGGAAATAACTCGGGGAAAAGAGGATGGGAGGAAACACCAATACTACAGACTCCAAACCCCAAAGTAGGGCAAGAAGGGAGGGTCATTTGCATCAGAAGGAGTCATTTGCCAGAATTGGAATAGAAAAGGGAAAGACAGAGGAGAAACAGGTGACCTGGCAGATAACAGCAGATAACGGCACCTTCAAAGTACAAATGTCTATGTCAGAGCTGCCTCCACCAGAGTATCCAAACAGGGGCCATCTAATTTCCCTCCCAGGGACTAGAACTCAACACGTCCCAGGTGTCACCTGGGTTTTCCCACTAATGATGATGACCCCTCGCTCTACATTTATTTGCTGACCCAATGCCGTGGACTGCAGTAGATCCTAGGGACACAGGGAAGAACAGGGCTCTGTGAACACACGTCATCTCACTTAAGACCCCCTTGTGATCGAAGGAAGAGGAAAGAGGCCGAACCTCTCACAGGCATCCTGGAGACCCCGAAATGAAGTTAGGGGAGAGGCATCAACAAGCTCTCCCTGGATCCAGCCATTCCTTCAGCACATTCAGGAGAATCGCTTGAACCCAGGAGTGGGAGGTTGCAGTGAGTCGAGATTGCACCACTGCACTCCAGCCTGGGCAACACAGCGAGACTCTGTCTCACACACACACACACACACACACACACACACACACACAAATAGAGAGAGTGGGGTAGAAATCAGGTCACAAAGGAAGGGAGCGCATGGCTGAAGGCGACCAAGTCCTCAGAGCCTTTCCAATGAACTGTTCTCAGAATAAAATCCAAACCCCTTCCCATGGTGTCTGCTGGCCATAGCCCTGCCTACCTCCATCTCCAGCTCCCTGGGAATGTGTGCTTTCTGTGTCTGCTCCTTGAACACACAGGCATGTTCCTGCCCTGGGGCCCTTGCACTTATTGTTCCAACAGTCTGGAACATTCTGGTATCAGATCCTCCTGAGGCAAAGCACTTTAACTGGTACCGTTGCAGAGGGGTCATCTCTGATGAGCCAATTCACAGTAGTGCTGCTCCTGTCTGAAAGTGTGTTGTTCTTGTGTTTGCTTACGTGTTTCTGTCTGTCTGCCTGCACAAGGTTGTGAGGTTCCCAAGGGCTAGGACCTTGTCTTTCCTGTGTGCTACAGAATCCACAAGGCCTAGAACACCAGCGGTGTTCAGTAACAGCTTTATGGCTGGAGGAAGGAATGAGCTGCCAGACCATGACAACACCAGCACCATGGACATGGATTTGTCAATGAGGCTGAAGTCATTTTTAGGTTTGCATGTAGCTCTGTGATGGCAACAGGTCACGGACATGGGGGCTGTGCTGGAAGACCCTTTGTGACCTGGTTTCTAACCCCTCTCTTTTTTTTTTTTTTCCCAAAACAGAGTCTCGTTCTGTTGCCCAGGCTGGAGTGCAGTGGTGCAATCTTGGCTCACTGCAACATCCCCCTCCTGGGTTCAAGCGATTCTCCTGCCTCAGCCTCCCGAGTAGCTAGGACTATAGGCGCCCGCCACCATGCCTAGCTCATTTTTGTATTTTTTAGTAGAGACCAGGTTTCACCATGTTGGCCAGGCTGGTCTTGAACTTCCGACCTCAGGTGATCCGCCCGCCTCAGCCTCCCAAAGTGCTGGGATTAACAGGCGTGAGCCACCGCGTCTGGGTGTCTCTATCTATTTTTATCCATGGCAACCCCCCACTTGGTTCCTTCTCCCCAGTTACACTGACCAGTTACAAGTCTTCCAACGTGATAAGAAGATTCATGCCCTCCTGCTCTCACAGTTGCTGTCTTTTCACTAGAAAATTCATCCCTCCTCTCCTGCCTTTCTCCACTGTAGTTCAGACATGCCTGTCCTCAGGACGCTCCCCTGCCAGCCTGCCCCGATCTGAGTTGGGTGCTTTTTCCACGTAGGCCCGCTTAGCACTCAGCTCATCTCTAGAGAATCCATCGCTGCCAGAATTCCTTCCAGGCAGGAACCAGGGCTTTATGTGTTTCTCTGATGATAGCCCAGCATCAGATGTACAGTAAGACCTCAGTAAATGTCTACTGAGTAAATCCTGAAATCGTGTCCACAACAATAAATAAATAATAGGCCGGGCACAGTGGCTCATGCCTGTAATCCCAGCACTTCCGGAGGCCGAGGCAGGTGGATCACTTGAAGTCAGGAATTCGAGACCAGCCTGGCCAACAGGGTGAAACCCTGTCTCTACTAAAAATACAGAAAGTAGCCGGGCATGGTGGTGGGTCCCTGTAATCCTAACTACTCCGGAGACTGAGGCATGAGAATCTCTTGAACCCAAGGGGCGGAGGTTGCAGTGAGCCGAGATCACACCACTGCTCTCCAGCCTGGATGATAGAGTAAGACTCAGTCTCAAAAATAAACAAATAAATAAATAAATAAATAATATGACCTTTGCTCTGGTCACTGTTCTAAGATTTCTAACTGTTACGTCATGTTGTGAAATTCCTTTTGCTCTATTGCAGATAGTAGAGCACTGTGCCATTGTCCGTGTAGATGCCCAGTGCTCTTATTATTTCAGAACTGGGGAGATGCGTCCCCGTTACCCCTCCCAGGGCCTCACTTCTCTGAGCCTGCCTGTGTTAGTTCTTCTGACACGGATAGATAGGATTGCTATCTCCATTTTACAAGAGTAGGAACAGGCCGGGCGTGGTGGCTTACACCTGTAATCCCAGCACTTCGGGAGGCTGAGGTGGGTGGATCACGAGGTCAGGAGTTCAAGGCCAGCCTGGCCAACATGGTGAAATCTTGTCTCTACTAAAAGTACAAAAAAAATTAGCTGGGCATGGTGGTGGGCACCTGTAATCCCAGCTACTCGGGAGGCTGAGGCAAGATAATTGCTTGAACTTGGGAGGCGGAGGTTGCAGTGAGCAGAGATCGTGTCACTGCACTCCAGCCTAGGCAACAGAGCAAGACTCCGTCTCAGGGGAAAAAAAAAGCAGTAGGGGCCGGGCACAGTGGCTCACACCTGTAATCCCACTACTTTGGGAGGCCAAGGCGGGTGGATCACGAGGTCAGGAGATCGAAACCATCCTGGCTAACACAGTGAAACCCCATCTCTACTAACAATACAAAAAATTAACTGGGCATGGTGGTGGGCGCCTGTAGCCCCAGCTACTCGGGAGGCTGAGGCAGAAGAATAGCATGAACCTGGAAGGCGGAGCTTGCAGTGAGCCGAGATCCAGCCTGGGTGACAGAGCAAGACTCTGTGTCAAAAAGACAGAGAGGCGGAAAGAAAGAAAGAAAGAAAGAGAAAGAGAGAGAGAGAGAGACAGAGAAAGAAAGACAGTAGGAACAGAAGCTCAGAGAGATTAAGCAACTTGCTCAAGTCACACAGCTAGTTAAGTGGTAGAGCCAGGGACTGGACCTAGGGGGTCACTCCACCCTGGCGTGCAATGCTGCCACCTCTCACACTTGCCCACGTCCCTCATCTTCTTGGTGCTCTCCTCGTGCTGCTGTTTTCTATAAACACAGTTGTTTCTGGAGAGAAAGGCATATGGAAGGACTTCTCAACACCCCTCCCCATCCCCAAGGGACACTCACATTGTTGGCTTCTCGGACCAGCCTCTGTTCATTGTACAGAATGTGCCGGATGCAGCGGACCAGCTCCATGGGGCAGCGGTCATACGTGTTCTGAAAGAATCCAACAGCAGCCTCCAGCAGCCAACCTCTGCTCCAGCCATGCCAGTCCCATGCCATGCCCAGCCCTTCCTCTCCTTCAGCCTCTGCCTCAGCTTTTCCCAGAAAGCCTCCCAGACACCTCTATCTTTCTGTTCCTCATCCTCATCTTCCCCTCCAACATCTTCATATCTGGTTTGGAGTGAATTAAAAACCCACAGTTTATGAAGCACTTTCCCTTTTTTTTTTTTTTTTTTTTGGAGACGGAGTTTTGCTCTTGTTGCCCAGGCTAAAGGTGCAATGGCGTGATCTCAGTTCACCGCAACCTCTGCCTCCTGGGTTCAAGCGATTCTCCTGCCTCAGCCTCCCAAGTAGCTGGGATTACAAGCATGCACCACCACGCCCAGCTAATTTTGTATTTTAGTAGAGGCGGGGTTTCTCCACATTGGTCAGGCTGAACTCCCGACCTCAGGTGGCCCACCTGCCTTGGCCTCCCAAAGTGCTGGGATTACAGGCGTGAGCCACCGCGCCTGGTCTTATGAAGCACTTTCAATGTACCTTTCTTTTTGACTCTAACACAGGGGTCCCCAACCCCTGGGCCATGGACTGGTACAGGTCCGTGGCCTGTTAGGAACTAGACCACACAGCAGGAGGTGAGTGGCAGTGAGCAAACAAATGACGCTTCATCTGATTTACAGCTGCTCCCTATTGCTCGCATTACAGCCTTAACTCCGCTTCCTGTCAGATCAGCAGTGGCACTGGATTCCCATAGGAATGCTAACCCTATCGTGAACTGCGCGTGCGAGGGATCTAGGTTATGCACTTCTTATGAGAATCTAATGCCTGATGATCTGTCACTGTCTCCCATCACCCCCAGATGGGACTGTCTAGTTGCAGGAAAACAAGCTCAGGGCTCCCACTGATCCTACATTGTGGGTAAGTTGTATAATTATTTCATTACATAATACAATGTAATAATAATAGAAATAAAGTGCACAATAAATGTAATGCCCTTGAATCATCCCAAAACCACCTCCCTGCCCAATCCCGGTCCATGGAAAAATTGTCTTCCATGAAACCGGTCTCTGGTGCCAAAAAGTGGTGGGGGACCACTGCACTAACAGCATGGAAACCCTAGGACATAAGCAGAAACTATAATCCCCATTTCGCAGATGAGAAAACTGATACTGAGAGACATTATGTACTTGTCCAGATGCAACCAAGTGAGAAAGCAGATGACTCCAGACTCAGGACATCTGATGCCAAGGTCAAGGTACTTCCCACCACCGTGCCCCTGGCCTCCTATGTTGGTTCCCCTCAGGTTTCTCCTGTTTTTCCCCTCTTCTGGGATGAACCTGTATTTCCCTGGCACCCCGCTGTCTGTATTGAAGGGCTCTCTAGGAAACATAAGTGAGTTCCAATAAATGCTTGACTGTGATCACTACCCACACCCCTTTCCTGCTTCCACAAAAACTCCCTCTCTTCCTCCACACCCCTACTCCTCAAGTAAAGAAGAAGCTACATCGTATTTCTTTTTTTTTTTTTTTTTTTTTGAGACAGAGTCTCGCTTAGTCGCCCAGGTTGGAGTGCAGTGGCGCGATCTCGGCTCACTGCAAGCTCCGCCTCCCGGGTTCACGCCATTCTCCTGCCTCAGCCTCCCGAGTAGCTGGGACTACAGGCGCCCGCCGCCTCGCCCGGCTAATTTTTTGCATTTTTAGTAGAGACGGGGTTTCACCGTGTTAGCCAGGATGGTCTCGATCTCCTGACCTCGTGATCCGCCCGCCTCGGCCTCCCAAAGTGCTGGGATTACAGGCGTGAGCCACCGCGCCCGGCCAGCTACATCTTATTTCTAAACCCTCAATTCAAAGCCCTTGTGTCCAGCTCTTGTCTCTGGGACAGCTCCTCTCTCACCTTGAAAAAAGCCCAAGAGGGAGGTCTGGTTGCCACATTTCTAGAGTGCTGGTCTTCCCTTCTCCAACCCAGGAATCCTGACTCAGTCTCCCTCCATCCCTTCTGCTGCTTCCACAAGGCCAGTTCACCCATCTCCCTCTGTTGGCAACAGACACCTCCCACCCTTGCTTTGCAATATGCTAAAGAAATCTGACAGGTCTAATTTAGAAAGAGGGGGTGGGGGAAATCAAAGAAAACTTCCCAATAAGTTCGTGGTCACATGGTGAGTCAGTGGCCAGGCCAGGAAAAAACCCAGGGGTTCTGATGCTGGAACAAGATGATGCTGCCTCCCCGTAGGTGGCCCAGAGCCCACACCCACCTGGAGCTGCGTGGCGTAGTGCCCCAGCTTGATCTTCAGTAAAAACCCATCTTCCCCCACCTGGTGCTCCGCCTTCTTCTGCAGCTCCTGCACCAGGCCCTCCAGGAGCTGGGTGGCTTGGGCTCTGTCCTGGGGATTGTCCAAGTCAATGGCATCCCTTGGGGCGGGGCAGGAGAGAAAAATCTACTGTGGCACCTCCTTGGGCAAGGAGGTCAGAGACCCAGAATAAAGTGGAGACCCCAGGCTCATGACCGAGGGCACTCCAGGGCCCACAAGACTTGTTCCCAGCAGCTCCACAGACATCCGAGTCTAAAACCATTCTCTGTCCTCCCAGGCTTCCCCTTTCACAGGGACACCACCCCTTCCGCACAGAGAAGGACAGGCAGGACCAGAGTCACACCAAACCACCATGAGTAGAACTAGAGGCCAAAGGGCCTGGATGGTAGGGACCCTCTGAGGAGGGGCAGGGCGGGACGTGCCTACCATGGCTGGCTCTCAATCCACTGGGCCAAGTAGTGCCGGACCTCGATGGGGAAGTGCTGGCCGTACAGCACCTGCATCTGGCGCAGCGCATCTCCCTGCAGCTGCTGGGCCTGGATCCAGCCTGCCATGGCCGTTCACCTAGGGCGAGCCGAGCGCTGAAGTGCTCTCCTCTCCAGAGGCCAAGGAACCGGGCCTGCCCCTGGCCCTGCCATGCCTACCTATCCCTGGACCGCGGTCAGGCCAGGCCCCTCCCTTCCCACAGACAGCTTTCTTGTTCGGGAACAGAGATGGAGGGCAGCCCATCCCCTCCAACGAGGAACCCGTTGAAGGGGAGGAGAAGGTGCTCTGCAGAAGCAGGTGCCCTCCCCGTCTTCCTCTCCCCTTGCCCCACCGGAGCTTCCCCAGTGGGGGGTACGGCTAGAAACTGAAAGAGAAACTTGAAGGCGGGAGGCCCACAGGCCCTCTGGAGAGGGCTGCAAGGATCCCCCCAGCCCGCCTCGGGCCCAGTTTCTGGGAAGGGGAGATATTCCAACCCAAAGTTAGGCCAGCGCCGACAGCTCCCACTCGACGGCTAGGGCTTTTCGGGCACGTGGCTGGGGCTGTTCAGGAGAGAGGGCTAGGGACTTGGGCGCTCCCCTTTTCAGCTGCTCCCCAAGTTGTGCACTAGTGTCTCCCCGGGTCCAGCCCGACAGTGCTCCCTCTACGATGCGTGCCAGGACAGCGCCCTCCCTGGCCACCGCCCTTCATCCCCGACCCCTGTCCCTCCTCCCTTGTCTGTGCTGTGCCAACTCCCTCGCGGTGCCCGGGACTGATCCCCGCGCTGCGCCCGGCCGTCGGGCTCCGGGTGTCGGAGGTGCCGGGGCGGCAGTCGAGTGTCCCCTCTCCGCGCGCCGCCCAGGACGCGCCACCGGGCCACCCACCTGGTGGGGCCGCGCCGTCTGGCAGCCGGGCCGGCTCTGCGCCCCGCGGCTCTCGCTCCCGGCCGGGGCTCCTTGCGGCGGCGGCAGCGGCGGCTGTTACTACAGGAAGGAGCGGAGAGCAGCGATTTCCTCCTCAAAGGTCAGCTGCCTGCGATAGACCATACACAGCGCGCGAGCCCGCGCCAGCACCCCTCCCAGCCCCGCTCGCTCCCTCCCTGCCTCCGCCCTCGGTCGCCGGCTCCCCTGCGAGTGCGCAACAGCGGCTGCCGTTCCGGCGGGCTGCAAGGCGGGGCGGCGCCGGGCGTGGGGGCTGCCCCGACGGCGGGGTCCCCCGGGAGTCCCAGCCGGCCCTCGGCTGCGGCTCCGAGGGAGCGTCCCGGAACCGGGGCGGGTCAGAATAGCCGCGGGAATGTGGTTGGTAGGGGGCGCTGGGAAATCCCGGGCTCTGGAAATCCCAAACCTGGGCCTCAGTTTTCTCATCCGCAAAAAGGGAGGAGGGAAGGGTGGACCAATTGGCGATGCCTTCCAGCTCTGACGAGTGTCATCTTTTGAGCCCCTAGATTAAAACACAAATGTGTGGGGTGTGTGCGTACACGCGCGTGTGTGCGCGTGTGTGTCTTGGGGGCCACAGGTTTTGTGACCTCAGAGGCAAAACTGTAGGGAGGGGAAGGACTGGGGATTCTAGAGAAGCCCACCACCGCAGCACCTCCCTCCTTCTTTTACTCCCGCCATCTAAACTCAACCCTGACGGAGGAACTGGAAAGAACCTTGGCAGTCATGTGTTTCAGCCCTCCCCCTCTCCATAATTTGCAGGTAAGAAGTGGAAGTCCAGAGAGGGGAAGGGGCTTGCCCAGGGCCACCCAGGGCCACACAGTGGGCGCGTGACCTCACCAGCCGACGGTGATCCATAAACTAGCTAAAGCCCCCGTTCACCCAGCCTAGTTATTTATGAGGCTGGTTCTACCTTCAGAAAAGTCCAGGAAGGGACCGTCTTGAGTCCTCCCAACTTCGAAACTGCCTACAGGCCTTGCCACAGCAGTGAACATCCTGTCTACAGCCTCAGTCCCCCTCTCCAAGAGGCCCCTTCCCACGAGGCCCAAGGGGTTTGGTGAGGTCGGGCTGGACGCCTTCCATCCCCTTTGCCCAGCTTCCCTCTCCTCTGGGCCTCCCCTCTGCCTGGCAGCGGGTTGGCAGCACCAGAGGAGGGGCCAGCCCAGCTGCCCACTCACAGCACAGCTGAGCCAAGACTTCATGTCCTGGGCTGGGGGTGGGGGGCGGGTGCATCTCATCTGCCTCCCTCCCCATCTGCTTCTCAGAGCTGCCCTTTTCTCTCCATTCCCACTCTCCCTTCTTGCCCCTTACTACCTCTCCCGGTTTCATTCTTTTAACTTCAGAGGAAAAAAAAAAGAACTTTAAAGCTGCAGAAGCCAAAATGTCTGGGTTCTCCCCACCTTCCCTGTGTGGTCACAGTGTCTTCGTTGGCAGGATCACGAGGAAAGGAATTGAAAACTCTAAGGGGGTGCATGGAGGATGTAGGGAAGCCTTGCTTCCCAGATACTCTGCAGGGGGCCCCAGGGAGGAGGAAGGATAGCCCCTCTCCTCTCCTTTCCCACTCTGAGCAATGGATTTGGCAGGGGAGGGTCAGACACAGAGCTGGGGGGTCACCTGCAATGAAAGCCAAGTGCCACAGCTGGAAATGACCATAAAGATGATTTACAAGTGGAAAAACAAAGGCCAGACGGGGGAAGTGACTTCGCCACTGTCATGCAGCCTGTCGGTGGCTGGATACAAACCCATTGCCACATTTGGGTGGATCCCACTTGGCACCTGTGCCCTCCAGCAGTTCCCTTCAGGCAGGTGTGGAAGTCAGTTGATGGGAGCAGATTCCTCAGGTTTTCAAGTCCTCTCAGCCAGGTCTGGAGGGCAGAGGGCCACCCTTGCCATGCACTGACACCTGGGCACCTGACGGGGTGGGGGTGCCTGCTTAAGAGAGGGGGTCCCGCCTGCTCTCTTCCAGGCAGCCGCCTCTCTAGACTCCTCCTCCAGGGCCTGCAGAGGCCTGTTGCTCCAGCAGGCAGCCCTACCCACCAAACATCTGTCTTGGTTGGGCTGGGCTTGGCTTTAGTGTGGGTAGTCCTAGGTCCTAAAAAGCTAGCATTGAGATGCCAGAGAACAGAACGGGAAGGATGGGCCTAAAAGGGTGTGTGGCTGTGTTTTCAGAGCCCTCCTATGCCACCCACCCCCTGACCCTGTGCCCAGTGGCTGTGCCCTTGTCTGACAGTCTCCTCATTTGGTCTCTGACTATAAGGCCCCGAATATCTGTGTCTTTCATTGCATATTTCCCCCTCTGGCTATTTTTTTTTTTGAGATAGAGTTTCACTCTTGTTGCCCAGGCTGGAGTGCAATGGCTCGATCTCGGCTCACAGCAACCTCAGCCTCCCAGGTTCAAGCGATTCTTCTGCCTCAGCCTCCCGAGTAGCTGGGATTACAGGCATATGCCACCGCTCCTGGCTAATTTTGTATTTTTAATTTTGTATTTTTAGTAGAGGCAGGGTATCTCCATGTTGGTCAGGCTGGTCTTGAACTCCCAACCTCAGGTGACCCGCCCGCCTCGGCCTCCCAAAGTGCTGGGATTACAGACATCAGCTACTGCGCCCAGCCCCTCCTCTGGCTTTTATTCTCTCTGTGTCTCTCCCTGTCTCATTAGGTCTCCATCTGGTTCTCTGATTCTGTCTAGGTTTCTCTCCATTTCTTTGTGCCTGTTCTCCCTTTGAGATGCAGTGGGGAGGAGGAGGAGCTGCGGAACTTTCCCAGGATGGGCAAAGGGCACCCAAGGGAGTAGAGGGAAGGGTGTCAGAGTTGGGTTAAGGGAAGAGGTGACTATAGTCGTGGCTCGAGATAACACAACTACCTGAAAATGTCAAATTTGGGGTTTCTTTTTGCTTTCAGTCCCCTGGTTTGGTCTCTGCGATTTCCCACCACAAAGTACCCTGGTGGTTCTGGGGAACCAGACTGTGGAGGAGAAAACTGAGGCCACGGGATGGGGGTTCAGGAAGATCAGAAACTGTCGAGGGTCTTACTGAGCTGGGGTCCGAGGCTGGCCTCCTTGCCCCTAATTGCTCTTCACCCCCAAATCCAAGTCACAGCATTAGATGGGGAGTGAGGAAGGATTTTAGAAATCTTACAGAAATATATTTCCCAGGCTGGGTGCAGTGGCTCACTCCTATAATCCCAGCGCTTTGGGAGGCCAAGGTGGGAGGATCACTTGAGGCCAGGAGTTTGAGACCAGTCTGACCAACATGGTGAAACCTCGTCTCTACTAAAGATATAAAACAATTAGCCGAGCGTGGTGTCACGCACCTGTAATCCCAGCTACTTGGGAGGCCGAGGCACAAGAATCTCTTGAATCCGGGAGGCGGAGGTTGTAGTGAGCTGAGATTGCGCCCCTGCACTCCAGCCTGGGCAACAGATTGAGACTCCGTCTCAGAAAAAAGAAAAAAAAAAAGAAATATATTCTCCAAAAGAAGACCTCCTATATTTTATTAGGAATAATAATAGTCTGCAGCCTAGGCTGCAGTTGGCACATTATATTCGTATCCTGAACTACATTGAGGCGCATTTGTGTACAAACATGGTTGTGCTCTTCAACTCAATGGATCCTTTCAATAACCTTGAAGGCAGTCAGAGCCAGAATCACACCCTTTGATTAGTCCATGAAAGAAACCTGCCCAAAGCTGTTTGGCCAGTAAGTGCACATATGGCACCAGGATCCAAGTTGCCGGGCCTTGTTAGCAGGGTCTCAGTATAACCTTTCTAGGGTTCCCCAAGCCCGGCACACACCAGGAGAGTGAAGAGGCCTCCCTGGGCTGGGCTAGCCCACCACTGTTCTGTGGTGCGGAGCATAGCACCTCCATTCTCACCCAGCCTACACCTCTGCTCTCTTGAGTGGGACAGTGTGCTCTGTGCACACTTACATGAAGGTGGGTTTGAGTTTATGGATTAAGAGAATTATCCCAAAGGGCCAGGCGCGGTGGCTCACGCCTGTAGTCCCAGCGCTTTGGGAGGCCAAGGCAGGTGCATCACCTGAGGTCAGGAGTTCAAGACCAGCCTGATGAAACCCCATCTGTACTAAAAATCCAAAAATTAGCTGGGCGTGGTGGCGCATGCCTGTAATCCCAGCTACTTGGGAGGCTGAGGCAAGAGAATCGCTCGAACCAGGAAGGTGGAGGTTGCAGTTAGCTGAGATTGAGCCATTGCACTCCAGCCTGGACAACAAGAGTGAAACTCCATCTCAAAAAAGAAAAAGAGAGAATTATCCCAGGTCCCCTTTCTACCTTGCCCTTGGCGATCAGGTCTGCCCATGCCCCTACCCGGGGGAGAACAGACTGAGGTCACCTTGACCTGACCTTCCTTGGGGGTGGAGGGAGGTGTACAGAGATGCCTTTGTTTCCTGTGCTCCAAGTCCCTTCTTCAAGGAGAGTTCCTGTTACATGGGAGCCAGAGGGGAGGTGGGGTGGGGATGAACGGCCTTCCCAAGAAAGCTGGAGGCTTTCTAGGAAGTATCTCTTTGCCCTGCGGCAGAGGGGAGAAGCCCTGGAGCACTTAAACATCCGCTTCACCCCCACCTTGCCTCTGCTTGGACAGTCTACCTGCACGCCAGCCCCTCCGGAGAAGGCTTCTAGAAGTGGGGCCATGGGCCCATGCTCAGAGTACACCCCACCTCTGAGGCCAGGCCCTGGGACCTCCCTGTAGAAATGCCACCCCTATTCTTGTCCATGAAGACAGAGCAGGACCTAGGGAGGGTGTGTGTTTATATGAACAGGGTGAGGAATTCTTGCACATTTGGGGGAAGGGAAGGAGCTGCTGGAGTTCGGGTGAAGCCCGTTCCTGCAGCTGTCCCCTATCCACCACTCTTCAGGGAAGTCGCCTTACAATGAAGTCACCAAGAGAACACAGGCCATCCTGCCTGAGGCATAGTGACTGTCCTCTGTTTCTGGGAATAGCGTGAGGGGAAGGGTGTGGGGCTGGACAGGGTGGGTAGGAGGGGAGTCCTGCCTCCTCTGCCCAGCTGCCCAGCCTGCCTGCCTGGGGGAGAGGCTTGTAGGCCGGTTTCTTTCTGGACAAAGAGAAGAGGATGCAGAGTCTGTGCCAGGTTCACATTTCTCAGCCAGTCAGGTGGGCAGGAGGAGCCCACCCTTTGCAGCCCCCTCATCGCAGGGCCAGGCCCAGGATCCTGGAGAGACGAGAGAGGGCACACAGAGCCAGGCAGCTGAGTGGAATTGGCAGTGTCCTGGACGGCCCTGGGTCAAACCTGGCTTCTCATCCTCATCCACGATGACTATCAGGCCTCTCTTCCCGCTGAGCTAGTTTCTCCTCCTTACAGCCCAACAAGAAATCTTTTGTGCCTCGGCCGGCCCAGGACCCGATCTCAAGCCCTCTGAGGGTTGTGTGCGAGGGGGCTGAGCATCTTCCACGACACCTCCCAGTACACTGCCACTTTCCTTTGTTATGACTGGAGGGGATTCCTTTCTGTACAATCTGTTTCTCATTGTTTCTTCGTTTCTTTAGTCTCAGATCTACCCACATCTTCCTTGCTCCAAGCCTCAAAAAAGTGCTTCAGCCAGGCCGTTCCCCTTACACTGGCCTCTCAACTCTAAGCACTAGCCCCTTTCATTCCATCTACCTGGAATGTCATTCCTCCCTTGGCCACCTGGTAAAATTGGCTTCATCTTTC